GGTACTTTTTTCTAGGAAAGCCCTAATTTTAAATGCAAATTCGGATTCTCCATCAAAAATTGATCTTAGAAAAGAGTTTTTTATCATACTTCTCTATCTTCCCTTATCTATAAGTCGAAAAATCCTGTAGTAGGTCGGTCTCCTATGACTGATCTCTACACTATATTAGCATTTATCGTAGAATTCAAGAAAACCTTGACTCAATATCGTATAAGGTACTTTTTCTAGGTCCAAATTTTATGTACAATCCGAATTTGCACTGAAAACCTAGAGTTTGTTTAAGCTTTTTACCATATCCTGACGGTGAACCTAGATTTCCGCCCACAGAAATTTAGTCCAAATTTGACCAAGATTTTCCCTATATTTTTATCTTAAAGATACTAAGGAGATTGTGAATTTCTAATACGAAATTTGATAAGGAACATTTTAAGAACAACCACAAGTTGATCGGTTAACTGGAAGTGAAGATATGGCCGAAAAGGAGAGGATACCCCTAGAAAATCTGCCTACCCCCCCCTAGACAAATGTCTAGGGGGGGGTAGGCACTTATCCGACTTTGACTCTAATTTTACCTAGGTTTTTATTGGTAAGTTTATAAAACAAATAAAACATTTCTAAAGTCAAATTTTGTGTAGATTCTAATAAACGCAACCGCTATTTGATTGGACTCTTAGATTTTGAGTTATGGACTATTTGATTGAGTCACCCCGATAAAATCTATGAGATTTGCTGAAAAGTGGTACTTTTTTCTAGGAAAGCCCTAATTTTAAATGCAAATTCGGATTCTCCATCAAAAATTGATCTTAGAAAAGAGTTTTTTATCATACTTCTCTATCTTCCCTTATCTATAAATCGAAAGATCCTGTAGTAGGTCGGTCTCCTATGACTGATCTCTACACTATACTAGCATTTATCGTAGAATTCAAGAAAACCTTTACTCAATATCTTATAAGCTACTTTTTCTAGGTCCAAATTTCAAGTAGGATCCGAATTTGCACTTAAAATCTAAGGTTTGCTTAGGTTTTTTACCATATCCTCACGGTAACCCTGGATTTCCGCCCACAGAAATTTAGTCCAACTTTGACCAAGATTTTCCCTATATTTTTATCTTAAAGATACTAAGGAGATTGTGAATTTCTAATACGAAATTTGATAAGGAACATTTTAAGAACAAACACAAGTTGATCGGTTAACTGGAAGTGAAGATATGGCCGAAAAGGAGAGGATACCCCTAGAAAATCTGCCTACCCCCCCCTAGACAAATGTCTAGGGGGGGGTAGGCACTTATCCGACTTTGACTCTAATTTTACCTAGGTTTTTATTGGTAAGTTTATAAAACAAATAAAACATTTCCAAAGTCAAATTTTGTGTAGATTCTAATAAACGCAACCGCTATTTGATTTGACTCTTAGATCTTGAGTTATAGACTATTTCATTGAATCACCCCTATAAAATTTTTGAGATTTGATGAAAAGTAGTACTTTTTTCTAGGCAAGACCTAATTTTAAGTGCAAATTCGGATTCTCCATCAAAAATGGAGCTTAGAAAAGTGTTTTTCATTATACTTCTCTATCTTCGCTTATCTATGAGTCGAAAAGTCCTGTAGTAGGTCGGTCTCCTATGACGGATCTCTATACTATATTTGCATTTATCGTAGAATTCAAGGAAACCTTTACTCAATATCTTATAAAGTACTTTTTCTAGGTCCAAATCTTATGTAGAATCCGAATTTGCACTTAAAACTTAGAGTTTGCTTAGGCTTTTTACCATATCTTGACCGTAAACCCAAATTCCCGTTTACAGAAATTTAGTCCAACTTTGACCGAGATTTCCTTTATGTTTTTATTCTAAAGTTGCTAAGGAGATTGTGAGTTTCTAGTAGGAAATTTTATAAGGAACATTTTAAGTATAACCACAAGTTGATCGGTTCACTGGAAGTGAAGATATGCTGGAAAAAGCGAGGACTCAATATAATCCTCATACACTGTACTAGGATCATAAAAAAAAGGCATTTTATATGATCCTAGTACAGTGTATGAAGATCATCTCAAAAGGGAAGAAAACCTTTACTCAATATCTTATAAAGTACTTTTTCTAGGTCCAAATCTTATGTAGAATCCGAATTTGCACTTAAAACTTAGAGTTTGTTTAGGCTTTTTACCCTATCTTGACGGTAAACCTTGCAGAAACTTAGTCCAAGTTTGACCGAGATTTCCTTTATGTTTTTATTCTAAAGTTGCTAAGGAGATTGTGAGTTTCTAGTAGGAAATTTTATAAGGAACATTTTAAGAATAACCACAAGTTGATCGGTTAACTGGAAGTGAAGATATGGTGGAAAAAGCGGGGACTCAATATGATCCTCATACACTGTACTAGGATCATAAAAAAAAGCCATTTTATATGATCCTAGTACAGTGTATGAAGATCATCTTAAAAGGGAAGAAAACCTTTACTCAATATCTTATAAAGTACTTTTTCTAGGTCCAAATCTTATGTAGAATCCGAATTTGCACTTAAAACTTAGGGTTTGCTTAGGCTTTTTACCGTATCTTGACGGTAAACCTTGTAGAAATTTAGTCCAACTTTGACCGAGATTTCCTTTATGTTTTTATTGTAAAGTTGCTAAGGAGATTGTCAATTTCTGATAGGAAATTTTATAAGGAACATTTTAAGAACAACCACAAGTTGATCGGTTAACTGGAAGTGAAGATATGGTGGAAAAAGAGAGCATACCCTTATAAAATCTGCCTACTTCCCTCTAGACAAATGTCTAGGGGAATGTAGGCACTTATCGGACTTTGACCCTAATTTTATCCAGGTTTTTATTGGTAAGTCTATAAAACAAATAAAACATTTTTACAGTCAAATTTTGTCTAGATTCTAATAAACGCAACCGTTATTTGACTCGAATCTTAGATCTTGAGTTATAGACTATTTCATTGAATCACATAAAATTTATGAGATTTGATGAAAAGTGGTACTTTTTTGTAGGAAAGCGCTAATTTTAAGTACAAATTCGGATTCTCCATCAAAGATCGAGCTTACAAAAGTGTTTTTTATCATACTTATCTATCTTCACTTGTCTATAAGTCGAAAAGTCTTGTAGTCTGTCTGCTATAACCGATCTCTGAAAGATATTGGCATTTAGCATAAAATCTCGATAAAACCTTTACTCAATATCCTATAAAGTACTTTTCTAGGTCTAATTTTCATGCAGAATCCAAATATGTACTTAAGATCGAGGGTTTTTTCAGACTTTTTACCATATCCTGACGATACCCCTAAATTCTTGCTGCCAGGAAATTAGTCCAACTTTGACCAAGATTTTCTTTATGTTTTTATCTTAGAGTTACTAAAGAGATTGTGAATTTCTAATACGAAATTTTATAACAAATATTTTAAGAACAACCACAAATTGATCGCTCAACTGGAAGTGGAGATATGGAGGGAAAGAGAAGAGTCGTTAGACTCTTCCCTAACGATATTACAATTGCGAAAGAAAAAGAATACTTTTCGTTGGGTCATCCCCGATTTTTTCGACGAATTCGAACTTCTCGGCTAAAAGTACGTCTAGAAAAGTGTTTTTAAAAGATTTAAAAAGAAAAAAATTTTTTGTTGAAAAAAAAGCTAAGGTATTAGACTGTACTTTTTTTTCTTAAAAAAAATTTTTTTCCGAAACATTTGAAAACACTTTTCTAGACGTAGTTTTAAGAATAGAATGGCAATCTGTCGAAAAAATTGGGGGTCACCTAACAAAAAGCACTCTTTTTACTTAACAATTGTACTATTGTTAGGCAGAGTTTGATAACTCTTCTCTTTTTCTCTATATCTCAACTCATAGTTCACCAATCAACTTATAGTTGCACTTAAAATGTTCCTTATGAAATTTGGTTATAGACATCTACAAATTACTTAGTAAACTTTAATACAAAAACATGGTGAAAATCTTAGTCAAAGTTCGACTATCTATGCGAAAGGATCTATCAACTTAAAAAATCTAAAATTCAAGATATAGAAGTCGAATCAGCTCCGGGTTACTTTTATTAAATTCTACACAAAATTTAAGTTTAGAAATGTATCATTTATTTTGTAGACTTACCGATGAAAACATAGAGAAAAGTAGAATTATTGAGGATGCTACCATCCTCTAAAAATGTGCAGTACTGCAAATTTTGCTCCAACTTTGACCCTAATGTTATCTATGTTTTTATTATTAAGTCTATAAAACAAATGAAACATTTCTAAAGTCAAATTTTTGTGTAGATTCTGATAAAAGCAACCGCTATTTGATTCGACTCTTAGATCTTGAGTTATAGACTATTTCATTGAATCACCCCTATAGAATTTATGAGATTTGATGAAAAGTGGTACTTTTTTATAGGAAAGCTATAATTTTAAGTGCAAATTGGGATTTTCCATCAAAAATCGAGCTTAAAAAAGTGCTTTTTATTATACTTCTCTATCTTCACTTGTCTCTAAGTCGAAAAGTCTTGCAGTAAGTCGGTCTCCTATAACTGAGCTCTCCACTATATTTGAATTTACTGTAGAATTCAAGAAAACCTTTACTCAATATCTTATAAAGTACATGGAGTAAATTTCAGTCAAAGAATTTCAGAAAATTACTGAGATTTTAGACGATGTTTTGATACCACGTTGCATTAACGAGTTGATGATGGAAAAACTTGAGCAGGTGATAAAAAATTTTTCTAGGCCTTATGTTGAGAAAAATTCATAATTTAATTTAGCTTTTTCTAAATTTTGTACTTTTCCTCTTTTTTTTCTTTTCATTCTTGAACAACGTAATATTTATTATAAAAACCTACAATTGAATAAAATGAAAAACATTCATGAAGATCACTCAAAAGAGTGAAGATTCACTAAAAACTCGAAAATATCTAAAAACCTATAAATACAAAGAAAACATGACCATAAAATACTCAAAAAAAGAAAAACAATCATTTGTTGTTGAGAGGCGTCATGATTGTTGTTGGGAGGCGCTAACGGAAACCTGAAAGAAAAAATAGATAAATCTTAGATAAATGTAAGAAATCCCACACTTTAATGATAAATTACGAACCTGGGGGCAATTGGAAATTGCTGCTATTGGGTTTCTTCTTGTCCTTGTTATCAGCGTCCTAAAAGCAAACAATAGAATAATCATTTAACAACAAATTTATAAGTTTAGAAACATTAATGAGTTTAGAAGTTTAACATTAAAAAACAAATTTACTTTGTGATCTTTCCTTTGCCGTAAATTGTAGGGTGATCGATCAATTGACTGCTGTTTCTCTTTCTTTTTAGAGGATGGAAGCACTGAAAATGACAATTTCTTTAAAGATCAAATTAATTTTTCGATTTGAAATTTAATTTGACGTACCTTGATTTTCTTCACTCAATCCAATTTCGTGAATAGAAATTTCACGTACCTTGGTTTTTATCACTCGATGCATTTTCATGGCCACCCAGTTGAGATGTTGAGATATCAATCAAGTCCATAAGAGCCCCGTTTTCATCACTATTCTCGTCCTTATGACGCATCTTCTGAAAAAACGGAAAATTAAATGTAATAGTGAATACATATAAAAGATTTAAATAGTAGTAAAGTTTTACCTTATTAGAAGGGCCTGCTTCATCGCAGTCAGAACCGGATTCAGTTTCTGTAATTGGTTTCAAACTATTTTCACATAAATCACCTGAGCGAAGTCGCTTCTGAGGATTAACAAAAGTAACAGGCGATTTGCAGGACATAGAATAAGGATGAATCACTAAAAAAATAGATTAAATAGAATGATTAGATTATTAAACTAGAAGATATTAAGTAAATAGAAAATATAAATGGGGACTTTGAAATCTGAAATAAAAAAAATTCTCACCACGATTAGCAACATGTGCAAGACCAACAGCACTTAGATTACCAAGAGGAGTGGTGGGTGAATATAAAGATGGGTTCCGAGGAACGGCAACTCCAAACACATCAGCATCACATACTAAAAATTACAATTATTCTTGTTAAAGCGACCAAATTGAGTTACTAGAGCTCATCGAAGAGATAGCAGAAGATGATCGAGGTTGTGAAGAAGGGGATCGAAGAATTGGAGTCGGCGATCGAAGTGGTGTAGTAGATGACATCAACGATAGAGCCAACGGTGATCGAGTAGCCGATGAAGTTAATGAAGGCGACACAAATGCAGGGCGATTCGGAAAGAGCAGGCCATCCAACTCTTGGAAGATCCTCGCTTCAGGATCTTCAAGAGGCAGTTCAACACCTGCAAAAATTAGCAAGGCAATGTCTGCCGGATTGGCCTGCGCCTTACAGAAATCGGCAAAGCGCTTTGCTAAAAAGTTAAAATAGATTAGTTTTGTAAATGGAATACCGTAAATGTCACCTTCAGTGACTGGTTTCTCTCCTCGTTTCACTTTGGGGCCATATTTTTGAACAGACACGTTCACCTAAGAAATGAAATCATTTTGAAATTCAAATTTTAATTTACCTGCTCGCTAATGTTCAAACCCTTAAACCAACCATACATACTCAGAATATAGGCACCCATCTCTACTAAAATTAAAGGTTAGAAATAAGATCAATTGAATGAAATGCATAAAACTTTTCCTTAAGATGACACTTAGGATTTTGCTCTTAACAGGTAAGAATTTTCTCACCGTGATCTTGAGTAGAAGTCTAATACGTTATTTCAAATTTAAAAAACTGGCCTTCTAAATCAAATATTTTCATCTCGACCTCTGAATTAGGATCCATTTCGAGGACTTTGATATGTCCATTTGGGTGCGATGCAATTCCATATGCGTCTAAACGCCATCCTCCGTCTACTTCGAGAATCCATTTGTTCTTCACCGTCTTAGATTTTCTTCCGATAAATCGTTCCTTGTCGTATCCATCTTTCATCAAGGGCGGATAAACCTAAATTAAAACTTTTATATAGCAAAGAATCTAGAACCTCTAGAAGTTACATGGAAAAGTACTAAAAAAGGCACTAAAAACGCCTAAACCCTTCAATATTACAATCCATTTAGTAAAACTGACTTAAAAACTTGTAAACGACTTAAAAAAGCGCCAACCAAGCAATGCATTTTTTCTGTTGGATGTTTATTGCAAATCTTGATGATCTTTGCTTCTTGATTGTCTTTGGAAAAGAGTAAACGCTAAAATTTATTGAAATTGGTAGGTAAAAGGCAAAAATACCGGATTTTTCAACTTCGACGATTTGATACGCTTCGTTTTATTGGGCACAACAATTTCCAAATATTCTGGCTTTCGATAAGTGATTTGATGAGCGCAGGCAAAACCAAAAAGTTGTTGATACGCGGCCATCGCAATTGATTGAAGGATGAGTTATAACTAAAAATAAAAGATTGTTATGATTTTGAAAAACAAACATGGAAAAAAATCAATTAATATAAATTTCAGATTTCAAAGTTGAGAATTTGCCACCTTTTAAATGTTCTGGGCTTAATGGGCGTGGTTTGTAGTACTGCAAACTTTGTGGTACTGCAAACTTTGTAGTACTGTAACCTTTGTGGTACTGCAAACTTTGTGGTACTGCAAACTTTGTAGTATTGCAAACTTTGTGCTACTACAAACTTTGTAATACCACAAAGTTTGCAGTACCACAAAGTTTGCAGTACCACAAAGTTTGCAGTACCACAAAGTTTGCAGTACCACAAAGTTTGCAGTACCACAAAGTTTGCAGTACCACAAAGCTTGCAGTACCACAAAGTTTGCAGTACTACAAAGTTTGCAGTACCACAAAGTTTGCAGTACCAAAATGTTTGCAGTACTACAAAGTTTGCAGTACTGCAAACTTAAAAGTTTGTAGTACTACAAAGTTTGCAGTACCACAAAGTTTGCAGTGCCACAAAGTTTGCAGTACCACAAAGTTTGCAGTACTGTAAACTTAAAAGTTTGTATTAAGTTTGCAGTACTGCAAACTTAAAAGTTTGTATTAAGTTTGCAGTACTGCAAACTTAAAAGTTTGTAGTACTACAAAGTCTGCAGTACTACAAAGCTTGCAGTACCACAAAGTTTGCAGTACCACAAAGTTTGCAGTACCACAAAGTTTGCAGTACTACAAAGTTTGCAGTACTACAAAGTTTGCAGTACTGCAAACTTAAAAGTTTGTAGTACTACAAACTTTGCAGTACTATAAAGTTTGCAGTACCACCAAGTTTGCAGTACCACAAAGTTTGCAGTACCACAAAGTTTGCAGTGCCACAAAGTTTGCAGTACCACAAAGGTTGCGGTACTACAAAGTTTGCAGTACCACAAAGTTTGCAGTACCACAAAGTTTGCAGTACTACAAAGTTTGCAGTACTACAAAGTTTGCAGTACTGCAAACTTAAAAGTTTGTAGTACTACAAAGTTTGCAGTACCACAAAGCTTGCAGTGCCACAAAGTTTGCAGTACCACAAAGTTTGCAGTACTGCAAACTTAAAAGTTTGTAGTACTACAAAGTTTGCAGTACTACAAAGTTTGCAGTACCACAAAGTTTGCAGTACCACAAAGTTTGCAGTACCAGAAAGTTTGCAGTACCAGAAAGTTTGCAGTACCACAAAGTTTGCAGTACCACAAAGTTTGCAGTACCACAAAGTTTGCAGTACTACAAAGTTTGCAGTACTACAAAGCTTGCAGTACTACAAAGTTTGCAGTACTGCAAATTTAAAAGTTTGTAGTACTACAAAGTCTGCAGTACTACAAAGTTTGGAGTACCACAAAGTTTGCAGTACCACAAAGTTTGCATTACCACAAAGTCTGCAGTACTGCAAAGTTTGCAGTACCACAAAGTTTGCAGTACCACAAAGTTTGCAGTACCACAAAGTTTGCAGTACCACAAAGTTTGCAGTACCACAAAGTTTGCAGTACTGCAAATTTAAAAGTTTGTAGTACTACAAAGTCTGCAGTACTACAAAGTTTGGAGTACCACAAAGTTTGCAGTACCACAAAGTTTGCAGTACCACAAAGTTTGCAGTACCACAAAGTTTGCAGTACCACAAAGTTTGCAGTACTACAAAGTTTGCAGTACTACAAAGTTTGCAGTACTGCAAATTTAAAAGTTTGTAGTACTACAAAGTCTGCAGTACTACAAAGTTTGGAGTACCACAAAGTTTGCAGTACCACAAAGTTTGCAGTACCACAAAGTTTGCAGTACCACAAAGTTTGCAGTACCACAAAGTTTGCAGTACTGCAAACTTAAAAGTTTGTAGTACTACAAAGTTTGCAGTACTACAAAGTTTGCAGTACCACAAAGTTTGCAGTACCACAAAGTTTGCAGTACCACAAAGTTTGCAGTACCACAAAGTTTGCAGTACTGCAAACTTAAAAGTTTGTAGTACTACAAAGTCTGCAGTACTACAAAGTTTGGAGTACCACAAAGTTTGCAGTACCACAAAGTTTGCAGTACCACAAAGTTTGCAGTACCACAAAGTTTGCAGTACTGCAAACTTAAAAGTTTGTAGTACTACAAAGTTTGCAGTACCACAAAGTTTGCAGTACCACAAAGTTTGTAGTACCACAAAGTTTGCAGTACCACAAAGTTTGCAGTACTGCAAACTTAAAAGTTTGTTTTAAGTTTGCAGTACTGCAAACTTAAAAGTTTGTAGTACTACAAAGTTTGCAGTACTACAAAGTTTGCAGTACCACAAAGTTTGCAGTACCACAAAGTTTGCAGTACCACAAAGTTTGCAGTACCACAAAGTTTGCAGTACTACAAAGTTTGCAGTACTACAAAGTTTGCAGTACTGCAAATTTAAAAGTTTGTAGTACTACAAAGTCTGCAGTACTACAAAGTTTGGAGTACCACAAAGTTTGCAGTACCACAAAGTTTGCAGTACCACAAAGTTTGCAGTACCACAAAGTTTGCAGTACCACAAAGTTTGCAGTACCACAAAGTTTGCAGTACCACAAAGTTTGCAGTACCACAAAGTTTGCAGTACCACAAAGTTTGCAGTACCACAAAGTTTGCAGTACCACAAAGTTTGCAGTACCACAAAGTTTGCAGTACCACAAAGTTTGCAGTACTGCAAACTTAGAAGTTTGTAGTACTATAAAGTATGCAGTAACACAAAGTTTGCAGTACCACAAAGTTTGCAGTACCACAAAGTTTACAGTACCACAAAGTTTGCAGTACTGCAAACTTAAAAGTTTGTAGTACTACAAAGTCTGCAGTACTACAAAGTTTGGAGTACCACAAAGTTTGCAGTACCACAAAGTTTGCAGTACTGCAAACTTAAAAGTTTGTAGTACTACAAAGTCTGCAGTACTACAAAGTTTGGAGTACCACAAAGTTTGCAGTACCACAAAGTTTGCAGTACCACAAAGTTTGCAGTACCACAAAGTTTGCAGTACCACAAAGTTTGCAGTACCACAAAGTTTGCAGTACCACAAAGTTTGCAGTACCACAAAGTTTGCAGTACCACAAAGTTTGCAGTACCACAAAGTTTGCAGTACCACAAAGTTTGCAGTACCACAAAGTTTGCAGTACCACAAAGTTTGCAGTACCACAAAGTTTGCAGTACCACAAAGTTTGCAGTACCACAAAGTTTGCAGTACCACAAAGTTTGCAGTACCACAAAGTTTGCAGTACCACAAAGTTTGCAGTACCACAAAGTTTGCAGTACCACAAAGTTTGCAGTACCACAAAGTTTGCAGTACCACAAAGTTTGCAGTACCACAAAGTTTGCAGTACCACAAAGTTTGCAGTACCACAAAGTTTGCAGTACCACAAAGTTTGCAGTACTGCAAATTTAAAAAGTTTGTAGTACTACAAAGTCTGCAGTACTACAAAGTTTGGAGTACCACAAAGTTTGCAGTACCACAAAGTTTGCAGTACCACAAAGTTTGCAGTACCACAAAGTTTGCAGTACCACAAAGTTTGCATTACCACAAAGTTTGCAGTACTGCAAATTTAAAAGTTTGTAGTACTACAAAGTCTGCAGTACTACAAAGTTTGGAGTACCACAAAGTTTGCAGTACCACAAAGTTTGCAGTACCACAAAGTTTGCAGTACCACAAAGTTTGCAGTACCACAAAGTTTGCAGTACTACAAAGTTTGCAGTACTACAAAGTTTGCAGTACTGCAAATTTAAAAGTTTGTAGTACTACAAAGTCTGCAGTACTACAAAGTTTGGAGTACCACAAAGTTTGCAGTACCACAAAGTTTGCAGTACCACAAAGTTTGCAGTACCACAAAGTTTGCAGTACCACAAAGTTTGCAGTACTGCAAACTTAAAAGTTTGTAGTACTACAAAGTTTGCAGTACTACAAAGTTTGGAGTACCACAAAGTTTGCAGTACCACAAAGTTTGCAGTACCACAAAGTTTGCAGTACCACAAAGTTTGCAGTACCACCAAGTTTGCAGTGCCACAAAGTTTCCAGTACCACAAAGTTTGCAGTACTGCAAACTTAAAAGTTTGTAGTACTACAAAGTCTGCAGTACTACAAAGTTTGGAGTACCACAAAGTTTGCAGTACCACAAAGTTTGCAGTACCACAAAGTTTGCAGTACCACAAAGTTTGCAGTACCACAAAGTTTGCAGTACCACAAAGTTTGCAGTACCACAAAGTTTGCAGTACCACAAAGTTTGCAGTACTGCAAACTTAAAAGTTTGTAGTACTACAAAGTCTGCAGTACTACAGAGTTTGGAGTACCACAAAGTTTGCAGTACCATAAAGTTTGCAGTACTGCAAACTTAGAAGTTTGTAGTACTATAAAGTATGCAGTAACACAAAGTTTGCAGTACCACAAAGTTTGCAGTACCACAAAGTTTGCAGTACCAGAAAGTTTGCAGTACCACAAAGTTTGCAGTACTGCAAACTTAAAAGTTTGTTTTAAGTTTGCAGTACTGCAAACTTAAAAGTTTGTAGTACTACAAACTTTGCAGTACTATAAGTTTGCAGTACCACAAAGTTTGCAGTACCACAAAGTTTGCAGTACTACAAAGTTTGCAGTACCACAAAGTTTGCAGTACCACAAAGTTTGCAGTACTACAAAGTTTGCAGTACTGCAAACTTAAAAGTTAGTAGTACTACAAAGTTGGCAGTACCACAAAGATCATGATCTTGGGGGCAAGATCATGATCTTGGGGGCAAGATCATGATCTTGGGGGCAAGATCATGATCTTGGGGGCAAGATCATGATCTTGGGGGCAAGATCATGATCTTGGGGGCAAGATCATGATCTTGGGGGCAAGATCATGATCTTGGGGGCAAGATCATGATCTTGGGGGCAAGATCATGATCTTGGGTACCAAGATGATCTTGGGGGCAAGATCATGATCTTGCCCC